GGACGTGTGTAGTTGTTTACATCTTTCAACGCCGTGTAGAATGCTGCCACGCGCAAGTGATTACATAACGCAACCTCAACCTGAAAAATAAATGGGGCAACCTTTAAACTGTTTTCTGTTTTTTGTTTTTTTTTATGTAAATTTTCAAACATGTTTTCAAACATCTGCTGTCAAAACAGGGAAGTATACACATTGTGCATCGTCTATTACTATAAAGAGAAAAAAAACAATTGACCAAAAGTAGGATTAACCTCTAACCAATTAAATTCTTTTTGTTATAAAACGTTTGTCTTTAACTGGGCTATTTGTTAAAGTGAGACCTCAATGTGAATTCAAAGTTAATTTCAAAATTTAGGGGCAAAATTGATAAGCTCGGAAAAATCTCCAAGTCAGCTAAACTTTTTGTTTGGCTAGTCTGGCCTTAAATTTGAAAGTTCATTTAGTTTGAATTTTTAATGAATAACCCTGTAAGTATCCTATTCCAATATAGAATACCTTACCACTTTAAATACAGTGTGTGTAGTGGTTATGGTGCAAAGAGTGCCCTGGAAGTCAACCAGAATAATAAGTCAAACCCCTTGAGAATGGTTTGACGGTTTCCTTTGCTTTGATGGGCAACAATTGCCTTCTTCCGTTAGCTCCACTGAACTAAACCCTGCAGCCGGCTGATTGGCTGAGAGCATTGGCGGAGCACTGTCAGACAATGAGCTAATCTTGGGTTAGCTCAGTCCGGGAGCCTCTTGGGGAAGGGAGGTGACTGGAATCTGTTGAACCCTGGGTAAGCAGATTTTAACTTGTGTGAATTATGTTTCTCAGAATACACAGCCAGCTGTCTTACGATAAATATATAGTATTTTTATATTTTGGTGGATGCTTAATAGCCCTTCAGGTATAGGTCCTGTTATACATTATAGCCCTGAAATATTATTTATCTCAATGAATCAGAGCTACATTCCTTTTCTGCCATTCACATACAGTCACTGTTTAGTTATTTGACTTTTGATGTCAGACTGTTGAAGGGACACCCCAGACCTAAAACACTTAAAGTAGGCACTAAGACCACTTCAGCTAATTTAAGTGGTCTGGGTGCTGTGTCCCTTTTGCACTTAGTGCTGCAATGTTTACATTGCAGCTCTAAGTCTGCCCTCTGTGGCTGTCTACCAGACAGCCACTAGAGGGCTTCCGGAATCCAAAGTGACTTTGGTCCATTAGCTGACGCTGGACATCCTCACGGTTCTCCAGCGTCAGATTTTCCCCATAGGAAAGCAATTATTAATGCTTTTGTATGGGGAGGTCTAATGCGCGTGCGGCCATTGGCATGCATGCGCGTTAGGTCTAGCCGCTGGCTGACGTTGGTGGGGGAGGAACGTGGGCGGAGCCTGACCAGCGCTCCACGGGATGTAGGGAGTGAGGGGGGGAGGAAGGGGGGGGCACTCCAGGAGCCTATAGTGCCAGGAAAATGGGTTTGTTTTCCTGGCACTATAGGATCCCTTTAAGCTTGTTAAAGTGGCTTATATGTAAAAAGAGTGTTATTTTACAAAAAATGCAGATGTCAATAGAAATTGACACTTTTATAAATAGAGCTCTTGTTAAACTCCCCTGGTGTCAATCAGACAACTGGTCCTGTTACTTCCTGGCTAAATTCAAGCTAAATTCAAGAGGAAGCAATTGCACAGAGCACCAAAGACTTCTCATTAAGCTGCATTAAAAAGGCTGTGATTGGACAGAAAGTCTGGGTGGGGCTAGAAGGGCAGTTGGGTGTGGGATCTGGATAGGCTGCAGACAAGAGATCTGCAGCTTTTGCAAGCTGTTTAAGATATATCTCTAATAAAAAGAAAAAAATAATGAAATAGTGATTTTTATGATTATTATTTTTTAATTTAGGCTGTGGCGTGTCCCTTTAAGAATTTTAGTTAATTATTTACATATCCAAGTGCTGGGGAAATAGTCCAGGTGACAATAAATATTGTGGTTATTTAAAAGAAGAGCCAGAATTAACATTCTGTTAGTTTCCATGGTAATTGTTCCAATTTCATAACTTTCCCCTTGAATTGCTAAAAAAAATAAAAAAAAAATAAAAAAAATTTAAAAAATAAAGCAACAATTGTTTTTATCTTAACTCGAGGCACTGAAGAATATCTGCACTGTTGCATAAACAGAGATTCCTGACCCACACAAACATACAGGGAACATTCCAAGCAAGCAGCAGTTCAAATCACTTATCCAGACAAAAATACAAGATCAACGCCAGGAATTAAATTCAGACCGTACTTACAGAATGCTCGGTATTGAGAAAACTTACACATGGAATGTCAGGACTTAACAGGTGATCATTCAGACCTATACCGAGTACATTAGCTGATGTTTTGTCATATATCTTGGCAGAATGCATACATTACATGAAGAATACATCTTTTTATAGTCAAGGTGAACATTTCACATAGTGGAGAAGATACGTCATCACCGACCTAAGCAACGTCTCATGGTCAATAATTTTCAAGGGACACTCAAAGCATCGTAACCTCCACATCCAATTGTAATGGGTAAGGTGCAGGGTTCTCCCGGTATGCTGGTACCAAAAGCCAAAAAATAAAAAAAATAAAAACAAGGAGAAATAGGGAGGCCCAAAAAGGACAAGTTTAAAAAGAAAACCTGCAAAATGACAGAGCCACTTTAATCTTCATAAAATATTAAACAGGGGCTGATTTTGTTGGTAATATATATATATATATATATATATATATATATATATATATATATGTATTTTTTTTATCTAAAACAACTTAACCATTTGTACACATTTTAATCAAAATGTTAATATTTCATAGTGCTAAATATAATGAGTATGAGGGTGTCGATGTAGTCATTGCGAAATTCACTGAATCTCCGAATGGCAGAAGACGAAATCTGTAAATCAATGACTGTTTTCGTAGACTAGGTAAATAAAGAGGACATTCGCTTCTGACTTTTTACAAGTGTGCACATGTCAATTGTGCCATAATAACCATATTATATTGTGTCTATACTGGATATACCGTATGGGTGATGTAGAATTGTCCCTTCTTTATTCTTTTTTTCTGTTGTACGCATATGAGTGTTTTATCAGTTAACAGAGCAGATATTGTTAAAATTATATTTTACTGTTTTCTCTCCCTTCTGTGTATCTGCTCCATATGTTTCCGAGTAATTACTCAGTCTGACAGGCAGAGATACATTGATACAGTGAATTGAAAGCCCTTGCCCGCAGGCTTGCAATCTAGTAGCAATGGAACAAGTGATATACAGGGTGCATACAACGTACATCAAAGAGGGAGGAGTGGAAAATAGCTTCAGGTAAATAAACAAGCAATCTGTGATCCGTATATAAATATACTGTATATATGTTATATAGTTGTTTATGTGTACGAGATACTTTTTTTGTTTTACTTTAGTATTTGTATTGCATTCTTTCCTGTATCATTAGATTATCTCAGCAAATTTTAAACCGAAGTCTTGTTTGTTATTATTAGCTATGATCTCGCAAATCATTTCTCAGTGAGGTTATTGCAGTGTG